TACATGGTACAGTTCTCTGTGTACATGGTACAGTTCTCTGTGTACATGGTACAGTTCTGTGTACATGATACAGTTCTCTGTGTACATGGTACAGTTCTCTGTGTACATGGTACAGTTCTCTGTGTACATGGTACAGTTCTCTGTGTACATGGTACAGTTCTCTGTGTACATGGTACAGCTCTCTGTGTACATGGTACAGTTCTCTGTGTACATGGTACAGTTCTCTGTGTACATGGTACAGTTCTCTGTGTACATGGTAGAGTTCTCTGTGTACATGGTACAGTTCTCTGTGTACATGGTACAGTTCTGTGTACATGGTACAGTTCTGTGTACATGGTACAGTTCTCTGTGTACATGGTACAGTTCTGTGTACATGGTACAGTTCTCTGTGTACATGGTACAGTTCTGTGTACATGGTACAGTTCTCTGTGTACATGGTACAGTTCTGTGTACATGGTACAGTTCTGTGTACATGGTACAGTTCTGTGTACATGGTACAGTTCTGTGTACATGGTACAGTTCTCTGTGTACATGGTACAGTTCTGTGTACATGGTACAGTTCTGTGTACATGGTACAGTTCTGTGTACATGGTACAGTTCTGTGTACATGGTACAGTTCTCTGTGTACATGGTACAGTTCTCTGTGTACATGGTACAGTTCTCTGTGTACATGGTACAGTTCTGTGTACATGATACAGTTCTCTGTGTACATGGTACAGTTCTCTGTCTACATGGTACAGTTCTCTGTGTACATGGTACAGTTCTGTATACATGGTACAGTTCTCTGTGTACATGGTACAGTTCTCTGTGTACATGGTACAGTTCTCTGTGTACATGGTACAGTTCTGTGTACATGATACAGTTCTCTGTGTACATGGTACAGTTCTCTGTGTACATGGAACAGTTCTCTGTGTACATGATACAGTTCTCTGTGTACATGGTACAGTTCTCTGTGTACATGGTACAGTTCTCTGTGTACATGGTACAGTTCTGTGTACATGATACAGTTCTCTGTGTACATGGTACAGTTCTCTGTGTACATGGTACAGTTCTGTGTACATGATACAGTTCTCTGTGTACATGGTACAGTTCTGTGTACATGATACAGTTCTCTGTGTACATGGTACAGTTCTCTGTGTACATGGTACAGTTCTCTGTGTACATGGTACAGTTCTCTGTGTACATGGTACAGTTCTCTGTGTACATGGTACAGCTCTCTGTGTACATGGTACAGTTCTCTGTGTACATGGTACAGTTCTGTGTACATGATACAGTTCTCTGTGTACATGGTACAGTTCTCTGTGTACATGGTACAGTTCTCTGTGTACAAGATACAGTTCTCTGTGTACATGGTACAGTTCTGTGTACATGATACAGTTCTCTGTGTACATGGTACAGTTCTCTGTGTACATGGTACAGTTCTCTGTGTACATGATACAGTTCTCTGTGTACATGGTACAGTTCTCTGTGTACATGGTACAGTTCTCTGTGTACATGGTGCAGTTCTCTGTGTACATGATACAGTTCTCTGTGTACATGGTACAGTTCTGCGTACATGGTACAGTTCTCTGTCTACATGGTACAGTTCTCTGTGTACATGGTACAGTTCTGTATACATGGTACAGTTCTCTGTGTACATGGTACAGTTCTCTGTGTACATGGTACAGTTCTCTGTGTACATGGTACAGTTCTGTGTACATGATACAGTTCTCTGTGTACATGGTACAGTTCTCTGTGTACATGGAACAGTTCTCTGTGTACATGATACAGTTCTCTGTGTACATGGTACAGTTCTCTGTGTACATGGTACAATTCTCTGTGTACATGGTACAGTTCTGTGTACATGATACAGTTCTCTGTGTACATGGTACAGTTCTCTGTGTACATGGTACAGTTCTGTGTACATGATACAGTTCTCTGTGTACATGGTACAGTTCTGTGTACATGATACAGTTCTCTGTGTACATGGTACAGTTCTCTGTGTACATGGTACAGTTCTCTGTGTACATGGTACAGTTCTCTGTGTACATGGTACAGTTCTGTGTACATGATACAGTTCTCTGTGTACATGGTACAGTTCTGTGTACATGGTACAGTTCTCTGTGTACATGGTACAGTTCTGCGTACATGGTAACGTAACTTACAACAGTGACCTCGGGGGAGCGTAACTTACAACAGTGACCTCGCAGGAGCGTAACTTACAACAGTGACCTCGGGGGAGCGTAACTTACAACAGTGACCTCGGGGGAGCGTAACTTACAACAGTGACCTCGGGGGAGCGTAACTTACGACAGTGACCTCGGGGGAGCGTAACTTACGACAGTGACCTCGAGGGAGCGTAACTTACAACAGTGACCTCGGGGGGAGCGTAACTTACAACAGTGACCTCGGGGGGGGGGGGGCGTAACTTACAACAGTGACCTCGGGGGAGCGTAACTTACAACAGTGACCTCGGGGGGAGCGTAACTTACAACAGTGACCTCGGGGGGAGCGTAACTTACAACAGTGACCTCGGGGGAGCGTAACTTACAACAGTGACCTGGGGGGAGCGTAACTTACAACAGTGACCTCGGGGGAGCGTAACTTACAACAGTGACCTCGGGGGAGCGTAACTTACAACAGTGACCTCGGGGGAGCGTAACTTACAACAGTGACCTCGGGGGAAGCGTAACTTACAACAGTGACCTCGGGGGAGCGTAACTTACAACAGTGACCTCGGGGGAGCGTAACTTACAACAGTGACCTCGGGGGAGCGTAACTTACAACAGTGACCTCGGGGGAGCGTAACTTACAACAGTGACCTCGGGGAAGCGTAACTTACAACAGTGACCTCGGGGGAGCGTAACTTACAACAGTGACCTCGGGGGGAGCTTAACTTACAACAGTGACCTCTTGACCATGTTCAAGATTTCCTGGTTGTAAAAATTCCAGCATATATAATTGGGATGTGTGGTGTGAAAAATATATATAGCTCGCTATATATGTCCAGATATACCTGTATATGTAAATGCAAGTGTCTATATGTCTGCCTGTCTGTCTGTCTGAGGTTGGCAGCCACAAGCTTGGGATGAGTTTCACCCAATTTTTCCCAGTAATTGTTGTTTGGTACGTGGCCAATATGGGTGATTTATGACACGTATCAAAGGATACTACATGACACTCGCTCCTCCTCCTCCTCCCCCACCTCTCTCTCTCTCTCTCTCTCTCTCTCTCTATCACTCTCTCTCTCTCTCTCTCACTCTCTCTCTCTCTCTATCACTCTCTCTCTATCTATCACTCTCTATCACTCTCTCTCTCTCTCTCTCTATCTCTATCACTCTCTCTCTCTCTCTCACTCTCTCTCTCTATCTATCACTCTCTCTATCTATCACTCTCTCTCTATCACTCTCTCTCTCTCTCTCTCTCTCTCTCTCTCTCTCTCTCTCTCTCTCTCTCTCTCTCTCTCTTTTAATACATAGTGATAGGCTATATATATATTCCTCAATATCATAGCCAAATATTTGAAGTTGATTGATGCAGGCAGGACATGGCAACCCTTGCTGCAGCTGTGCCAGGTGTGACCAACCTCAGCTTGACAGTGTTGCCACCGCCGCTTGCTGCCTCACCAACAGTCTCGTACACAAAATATACAACTATACTTTAACAGAAATATGTAATTAAACTTAAAAATCATTGGAGTCTAATATTCCCCAACATTTTATGTACATCGATCAGTAACTTTTGTGGCAATATTTATGACGTGTATGAGGCCCCATACTTCCTGGGGAGCCGGTCGGCCGAGCGGACAGCACGCGGGACTTGTGATCCTGTGGTCCTGGGTTCGATCCCAGGCGCCGGCGAGAAACAATGGGCAGAGTTTCTTTCACCCTATGCCCCTGTTACCTAGCAGTAAATAGGTACCTGGGTGTTAGTCAGCTGTCACGGGCTGCTTCCTGGGGGTGGAGGCCTGGTCGAGGACCGGGCCGCGGGGACACTAAAAAGCCCCGAAATCATCTCAAGATAACCATAGTTAATGAACTAACATTAAAAATTTTAGGAAATTGTGAACTTGAGAAAATTGCAGTCCGTCTGTTTATATGTATTCAACATTACTATCTGCTCCTCTGTTGCAATTACTGCTGGTAATTCAAAAAGTAATTATTGGTATGCAGGCGACGAGTCACAATAACGTGGCTGAAGTATGTTGACCAGACCACACACTAGAAGGTGAAGGGACGACGACGTTTCGGTCCGTCCTAGACCATTCTCAAGTCGATTGTCACAATCGACTTGGGAATGGTCCTTAACGGAACGAAACGTCGTCGTCCCTTCACCTTCTAGTGTGTGGTCTGGTCAACAATTATTGGTATTATTTGTTCTACTTCTGTTTAATTCATGCTTTTGATCTCAAGTAGTTTTAACTTTTTGTCCCACATCTTGCCGGAAACGCTATTCGTACAGTATATTACGCGCAGTATATACTGTATGGCATATTGTATAGTATACGCTTTAGGCATAGTATATTTATATACTAAGTTTTATCTAAGAAATCCAACATTCTGCTTGTAACTCAAAATGTATATATGCCACTCAAGGCCGAGAACCAGAGCGTAACTCCATAGTCTCTTGAGACTCCAGCCTCAAGTCCAACTTGAGACTGATGGATGCCTACTACTACTACTACTACTACTACTACTACTACTACTACTACTACTACTACTACTACTACATAAATAAGTTATATAATTATTTAAATAAACTATACAAATAAAACATCGTGTGTCTGGCAGTGTTGTGCGAGTCAGTGAGACATGTTTGTGCTGTACGACACTTTCTCTGTAGCTGAGATAATTATCAGTGTATATATTTTCATAGAGACAAATTAATGATACAATCTCCCGGTGATCGTCTTATCTGTCAGCATACGCACCTACACACGAGGTGAGTAGACAAGGGCTGAACGGAAGAACGATGTTATCACCGCAAGCAATGGTGTTACTCACAGGCAGAACGTAACTTACAGGAGTTACAGAGACACATTCCAGCAGGCACTACGTCACGGCACCCTACATTGGCGTTACTCTCACTAAGCACTGTCCTCATGTCTTGTTTATTTTCATTCATAAGTACCATAACGTTAAGAGTGCGTACAACCACAGGTGGACATGCGCCTCGCTGCAGCGAGCAGCGGCGCGAGACTGGGGTGGTGGTGGAGGCGTATCTGTGGCTGGTATTGCCTGAGTGGCAACCCCTTACAATGGACAATGTTGTCAGTGGTCGGCGGTGAACTCTTGCTGGATAAACGTCTGGGTTAATGTCACTATCATTGGTCAGTGGGGGCCATCGCTGTTATTTTGATTCAGGCCTCCGTAGCTGTGGCACTCACACAGCTCCTGACAGAAAGGTTGCGTTATATTGTGTACCTAGTTAATTCCTTTTGTCGATGAAAGATCGGATATACAGTATATGCAACAATGATCACAAAAACTGATCCAAGTATGCGGAAAAAATCATATATATATATATATATATATATATATATATATATATATATATATATATATATATATATATATATATATATATATATATATATATATATATATATATATATATGTCGTACCTAGTAGCCAGAACTCACTTCTCAGCCTACTATGCAAGGCCCGATTTGCCTAATAAGCCAAGTTTTCATGAATTAATATATTTTCTCTATTTTTTTTCTTATGAAATGATAAAGCTACCCATTTCATTGTGTATGAAGTCAATTTTTTTTTTATTGGAGTTAAAATTAACGTAGATATATGACCGAACCTAACCAACTCTACCTAACCTAACCTAACCTATCTTAATAGGTTAGGTTAGGTTAGGTGGCCGAAAAAGTTAGGTTAGGTTAGGTTAGGTAGGTTAGGTAGTCGAAAAACAATTAATTCATGAAAACTTGGCTTATTAGGCAAATCGGGCCTTGAATAGTAGGCAGAGAAGTGCGTTCTGGCTACTAGGTATGACATATATATATATATATATATATATATATATATATATATATATATATATATATATATATATATATATATATATATATATATATATATATATATATATATACTTATAACTGAATAGAGCTTAATGTTGATGTTGTTTCAGATTTAGCTACTCAGGATGAAGTGTCCATGTAGCACGGGCTATGGTGAGCCCGTAATTGAGTTTGGTTATACATGATAACCTTTTTCCTGTGATATTTGGGTCTAAGTTTAAAATGGAGGAGAGGACTTCTTTTTTCCTGCTTATTTATCTCTTCTGTTTTAGTGCACTGGTTTTAATCTTGTCTTATTAACATTATCTTGGTGGCGGATGTAGATGCAGTGTTCACTAATGAGTCCCATTCCTCAACAGCTTTTCTAATCATTGTAGTCGCGGTGGAATGTGCATGTAATGCAGCTGCTGTCGTTGGATTAATGTTGAGTTTGATGCGCAGGGGTTCAGTAGCTTCACATTCCAGTAAGTAGTGCAATAGTGGCGCCTCTGCTTCTGTTCCACAGATATGACACTCTTTAACTATTGGGTTCATTACCTCCCAGCAGCACTTGTAACCAAGTCTGAGTCTGTGTATGGCTACTGCAATGTCTCTGGATATCTTTTTGCCAGGCTTGAAAGAGGAGTAACCAGTGGCTTGTTCGTACCATATCGCAGTGGATCTTCCTTCCGATACTTTGGCTCTGTGGCGACTTTTGATAGTTGAGAATATTTTCTTCTTGATTTGCTCCTTTATCTGTGAGAAACTTGGAGGTATTTGAACCTGTACCACAGGTAGAGCAGTGGTAGTTTTTGCTAGTGAGTCTGCCTTTTCATTACCATCTATGCCAATGTGACTTGGTATCCTATTTAGGGTGATTGACAGCCCTCGATTATGGGCATCTTTTCCTATCTGTTGAATTTCTGTGAGGAGTTGTATATTATCTCTGTACTGACTGGATAACAATGCCTGGAGCGAAGATTTAGAGTCGGTATGAATGATGACATCATGTAAATTATTCTCAATTGTATAGTTTATTGCCTCCTTCAGGGCATATAATTCTGTTTGCAATGTTGAGCACCCACTATTCATGCTCCAGTAAGCTTCATGGTTGGTAGTGTAAACTGCTGCCCCAGCAGAACCTCTTATTTTTTTTTTTTTTTTTTTTTTGAGATATATACAAGAGTTGTTACATTCTTGTACAGCCACTAGTACGCGTAGCGTTTCGGGCAAGTCCTTAATCCTATGGTCCCTGGAATACGATCCCCTGCCGCGAAGAATCGTTTTTTCATCCAAGTACACATTTTACTGCTGCGTTAAACAGAGGATACAGTTAAGGATTTGCGCCCAGTAAATCCTCCCCGGCCAGGATACGAACCCATGACATAGCGCTCGCGGAACGCCAGGCGAGTGTCTTACCACTACACCACGGAGACTGTCTTGATCAACTGATCCGTCTGTGAAGATGTGAGTCGTTGTCGGTCTTGAGATGGTTTCCATTTGTTGATCTATTACTTCCTTGAGCCTCTGCGGGTCACATGCTGATTTTTTAACTGGTAATCTTTCAATGATTATCTTTAGATTCGATTCTTCCCATGGAGGAGGCTGTCGAAAGTGTTGATATGGTCTATCTTCCCCTTTGTTTTTAATGATCCATTTCATGTCCATTTTCTCTAAAATCTTGACCACATTATCCATCCATGAGCGTGTTCTATACTGTAGGTTTTTCTGAAAGGATCTCTGTATGCTGTCTTTGATTGACAGCCTGGCGGTGGTTCCAGTAAGTTTTCCTATTAAGTAAGTAAGTTCCTATTACTTACTAAGTAATTACTTACTAAGTTCCTATTACTTACTAAGTAATTACTTACTAAGTTCCTATTACTTACTAAGTAAGTAAGTTCCTATTAAGTAAGTAAATTAAGTAATTAAGTTAAGTAAGTTCCAGTTTTGTTATTATGATGGCTATCCTTTGTTTCATCCTGTTTTCTAATGCTGGTAAATTTGTTTCCATTCTAAGGTTCTCTCGACGCGTCCATATAGGTGCTCCAAGCATTGTTCTCAGAGCATCATTTTGAGACACTTCCAGTTTCTCCCATTGGTTATCACTGAGGGATGTAGGAGCAGGAGCAGCATAGTCGATGAGTGACCTAACTGCTTGAACGGAGTACATTTTGAGTACTGGTAGAGATGCACCCTCTCTAAGACTGGTCAGGGAGCGCAAAGCAGAGTTTCTGGCTTTACAGCGTTGCCGAAGATATTCAATTTCTTGAGTGAATTTCAACTGGTTGTCTATTATGACTCCAAGGTATTGAAAAGAGGTAACCCACTCAATTTCTTGTCCTTGTATTGCGAGTCTGGGGTCGGATTCATGAAACCACTTACGCAAGCACTTACGAACCTGTACATCTTTTCTCAATTTTTGGCGGCTTTGTTTACAATTATTAAACAGTTAATGAGCTCCGAAGCACCAGGAGACTGTTTATAACAATAACAACAGTTGATTGGCAAGTTTTCATGCTTGTAAACTGTTTAATAAATGTAACCAAAGCCGTCGAAGATTGAGGAAATATGTACACGTTCGTAAGTGCTTGCGTAAGTGCTTTCGTGAATCTGGCCCCAGATGTCTTGAGTTCTCATTTTAACGGCCATAGCTTTTGTTTTACTGATGTTTATTTATCACTGCTGTGTGTACCGCTTCCCTGCTGATAATATCTAGGCATTTATGTGCATGGTTCCTTGCACCTTTGCCATTGATGATGACCACAAAGTCGTCTGCATAGTTAAAAAGTTTGACTTTTGGTAGCTTGAGCTTCATGAATTTTTCCATGAGACAGTTGAAGAGGAAGGGGCTTAGTATTCCTCCCTGCGGAGTTCCATTTTCCAGCCTCTTTGAGGTCGATGTTTTCCCTTTGAATTTGACTTTAGCTTCTCGGTTAAGCAGGCTTCCTTTGGCAAAAGCAAGAGCGTGTCCTTTGATTTCCTTATCCACAAGGCAGCACAGTGTAGCTGGAGCACTGGCTAACGCGAAGGCTTTTTCAAGGTCTAGAAAAATAAGGATTCCAGGTTTGTCATTGATTTGATCCAGGAGGGAGGTAAGGCATTCTGTGGTCTTTTCTGTAAGCAAACATATTTTGGTGTAGTGGATTGGCTTTCCATTCAATTCGATTAAGGGCCATTCTTTCTGCAGTTTTGGCCAGACAGCTTGTTAATGAGATGGGTCTTGGATTTCCTGGGTCTTTAGGTTTTGGAATGGGAACTATAATTGCACTGTTCCAAGAGAGTGCAATAGAGCTTAAACATCTTCGATTTTTTATACCTGCATTTGAGTGAGGTGATATGTTACAACAGTTTTGGATGAGGTGAAAACAAACTTTCAACACAAGTTAGAACACGAAACAATGGGTATTGAAGGTAAGAATGGAAGTAATTGCAGAGGGCCTATTGGCCCATATTTCTTGATGCTTCTATATTGGAGCGGAGTCTTGAAGTGGGTAGAATATAGTTGTGCATTAATTGGCTGTTGATTGCTGGTGTTGACTTCTTGATGTGTAGTGCCTCGCAGATGTCAAGCCGCCTGCTATCGCTGTATCTATCGATGATTTCTGTGTTGTTTGTTAAGATTTCTCTGGTGATGGTCTGGTTGTGGGAAGAGATTATATGTTCCTTAATGGAGCCCTGTTGCTTATGCATCGTTAATAGCCTGGAAAGAGATGTTGTCGTCTTGCCTATATACTGAGTTCTTCGAAGCTTACAGTCCCCAAGTGGGCATTTGAAGGCATAGACGACGTTGGTCTCTTTTAAAGCGTTCTGCTTTGTGTCTGGAGAGTTTCTCATGAGTAGGCTGGCCGTTTTTTTGGTTTTATAGTAAATCGTCAATTGTATCTTCTGATTTTTGTCTGTAGGGATAACGTTTCTATTAACAATATCTTTCAGGACCCTTTCCTCCGTTTTATGATATATATATATATATATATATATATATATATATATATATATATATATATATATATATATATATATATATATATATATATATATATATATATATTTATATGTTGTACCTAGTAGCCAGAACACACTTCTCGGCCTACCATGCAAGGCCCGATTTGCCTAATAGGCCGAGTGATTTTTTTTATTTTCAATAAATTGTTTCCAATTAGTTTATTTGAATTATTATTATTATATTATATTAAATTATTATTAAGTCAA